GAAGTACAGAACAGAAGTCTGTGTCTAAGCAGCCTATGGTGCTATTGTGCAGCTATAAAGTAGCATACCGATCCCAAGTATCTTTCCCAGTTTTGCAAATTAAGGCCACTTGTTCATTTTGGAACCTGAATATCAATAGAAGAAAAGAAATTATGTTTCTTTCACAGAGCTGAAACAGTTCACGGCCACATCTACATTTGCTAGAATCTCATCAAATATTTTATTCATTCTAAATTTCAAATCCACTTAAAAAGTAATTCTCACTGTATTTATTGAATGCCAGATCTGTAATCCAGGCTCTTTTGAAGTCAGCTGGAGCTTTGCTGTACAGGAGCCAGAACTTTACCAAATGTGCAAACCACAACACAAGCTCAAAAGACATAACCCTATGCCAAGGTGTGGTTACGTAGCTATTTCAGATTCTGATGTCATCATCCACACAAATGCTTGCAAAACGGCAATTGACTTTGTCCTGTGCCCCTGAAGTAAGTGAGGAAGGACTGAAAGAACCAAATGCCATTCAGTTTAGCATCAGCATTTAAGTGTATTTAACCCTAGAATATACATTTTAGCTCCAACAAATAACCAAGTAGCATTTGGGACATTTCATACAATGGGGTACAAATGCCTCTCACACACGAACAAAATGCATGGTACAGAAATTCATAACAACTTGAAAGAGAATAAGCTATTCCATTTTAAAACAATGTATTCCAAGACTGCCCCCTATAGCATACTAAAACATTTAGGCATGTGCTTAACTTTTCTCATATGTGGAAACTGCAAATATTAATTACATACTTTGAATTCATAGCATGTTTTTGTTTTCCTACACTAAATGGAGGATTTTAAAATAAACTGCAGGAGAGGTCTGGGTGTTTTGCTCTAGCAACACTTATTTATACAGGCTACACCCCGAAACGTAACCAAACATGGGTAGTAGCAGTCCTTTCTGTGTTGCACTTAATTCTCCCACACGTGCATTTCCTCACTAGTGTTTCTGCTCACTCCCCAGCGTTTAAGATGTGCCTGAAAACTCTACGTTTTCAAAAGTCCTTCACTTTTTCTATTGTTAAATCTGTACAAAGTCCACTCCCTTCTTAGGGACCATTTAAACTTAGAAGTTTTTACAAAAATTAACTGATAATCTTTACTGAGTTGAATATTTATAGTACATGTTAGTTTTAAGTGCACTAGATCATCACACTTGTGATTAAAAGATAAATTAATCAAACTTTCCCAGAAACATTTTCAGAGTTCCAAAAGGTGTGATCTAGCTGACAAATAAACTTTTCCTGAAGTGTGTTCTCATGACCTGGTGGAATAGTTTGTTACAGATTTGGAAGTATGTGGCAACTATATAAGATAAAATTAATCTGAAAGTTTTTCTGGAAAGTGTTATTACTACTCTTTCACACTTTTTTACAATGTGCTCTGACAGTAAAATGGCATCTAGCTGTGATTTATGTGTCTTCACTTTGAGGAAATATTGTTGTATTAATAAAATCCTGGCACTCAAAACATTCTGTCCAGCTACGCAGTGACTTTCATGTTTCTTCAGAATAATAGTTAAAATTAGGTATGATATTTTTTGCTGTTTCTCTAAGTGTGGTACAACTTGATTTTAGTACATTTCTCTCATTGTTTGGTTCATAAAACACCACTTTTCCCTCTGCCAAGAGTTGAATCACAGATGTTTTCTAGTTGCAGCTCTGCAGGTTGACGAGACATTTAGTAACACAATAACCATTTTTCTGTCTGAAATTACTAAGTTATAAATTGTATAGAAAAATAGGCCAGTAGTAAAGTAGTAAATCTGTAGTAAATCTGAAGTAAAGACTTATTCAACTAAATAACTGAGTAAAGCATCTTTTTGTTTTTTAGGTCACATAGCAAATGTGATTTCATGAAATGAACATATTTGGATGGTGTTCTGTCACAAACTCAACTACAAGTGCGTGATTTCTGATGGCATTGCAAAGAAAGTTTTGATAGGATGTGATACTGCAACAGGGTGAGTAAAGTGACCTTCTAGTTTCTTATTCAACATAGTAGATCAGCACCTACCAAAACTTTAGGGTGAAGTCCTGACTTTGCTGTACGTTCAGTATGACTTCTAGCAATGACTCCAGTGGGGCTAGGATTCCACTGAACAAAGCCTAGAGGCTTAAAGCTTATGGTTTACAGAAGAGTGCTATGTCCTTACAGTGTGTTTCAAGCATAGGCAACCACCCTGCCGTGTGAAACCTCTGATTTCTCTCCTTCCCTGTTCTCTGTCACCAAGGACGTGAATATGAAAAAGATGCCCCCAGCTCTCATTGTTTATACAACTCTGGCTACACCCATTGCTTCTACACCTGAGTACATAATCCTCTTTGACAGCATGATCTGCACAGCAGCTGGGGCTCCAGTACTGTAAACAGTTTTGCATGTGATTAAGGGCAAGCAGGTGACTGCTATCCTGCAGTGGCCATTAATTTTACTGCCAGAAAATTCTGACACAGGATGGGGAACACACAGGAACTTTTAAGTAATGAAGAAACAACCTGTCACTTTTTTCCCTGTTCCCACCATTGGCTCAGGCTGCTTTCCAAAGACCTTTAAGAATACATGGAGGGTAAAGGAATCCCTCCACAACTGCACCCCACATGAACTAAACTGGAGAGCAAGTCTTGATACAAGAACTTTTCTTACACTTCTGCATAATCAAGAGCCAATTCAGATTTTATAAGTGTTTTAACACATACTGGTAATAAGTCAAATGTATTTCATGAATATTTGATTGTTCTTTCAATTTGAGTAGCA